CTTCAAAAACATTCGTAAATGCTGATTTGGTGCTCAAGAAACATTTCTTATTATTATCAATGTTGACAAAAGACAATTATTATTTTTGTGGAAAAAAAAATTGAGCCATTTTTTTGTTTTTTGGGAAATGTATATCAATAAATTGAATCGAATCTATAAAATAAAATATCTGCATTTATTTTAAATAAACATGTAAATGTCTTTATTATCACAATTTAAGCCATGCCCTTTGAATAAAAGTAGCTCTTATTTATAATAATAATAATACTATTATTATAAAAAAAATAGTAAACCCCAAACATTTGAGTAGTGTACATCTAAACTCTAAATATATGAAAATTATAATTAAAACCACCTCACACATGTGCTCAAATTACAGCTTAGTGTAAATTCATTCGATTGGCTATACACACCCAAACATTTTGTATTTAGTACTGCATAATCAAAAAGTTTGATACATAAGTTGATCTACCTGAGAACCGGGTGCTCATAGTCTTCAAACCAGGGGGAGCATATCCCAGTGATATTTCAAAAGGTCACTATCATTATTGTTGCTTAGCAACCTGGAGCACAAACTGTAGATATACACATCAATGGCATAGAGGCTGCTTCATGAAAGTATAACTGCTTAAACCACTGTTAATGTTTAGAGTGTGGCAGCATACATTATATATACTCTGTGTGTGTGTGTGTGTGTGTATATATATACACTGTAAAAATGCTTTACACTGAAAAAAATAATATTCTTTATCTAATCAATAAAATTGTGGCAACATATTACAAGCAATATTATTAATTAAATTTTACAAATTAGAATTAATTAGAATATTAATTTGATTAACTATTACTCAATTAAAATTTGTTCAATTTAATAAATAATTTTGCTTGTAATCTGTTGCCACAATTTTATTGATTAAATAAAGCATATTAATTTTTACAGTGTATGTAATCAAAAAATTGTGGCAACAGATTACAAGCAATATTATTAATTAAATTTAATTAGAATTGAGTATTAATTAATCAAATTAATTCCTTAAAAGTTAACCATTCAAAATGAGTAAGACAACAACAATGAAAAAAACAAACAAAAAAAAACAAACAAACATACATTTAAGTCACCATCATGGTGATCGGTGTTTGTTTTAGGTTTGTTTTAAAATTACGGTTTTCTTCTTCAGAGATTCTGCTTGTTAACAACAGGTGTCTTCAATGTTGGCAATATAAAATAAAGAGTCACAAGAGACACAATTCTATTGATTAGATACAGCATATGCATTTTTACAATGCATATATATATATATATATATATATATATATATATATATGAAGAGTTCAGATGCAAAAGCCTCTAAGTGCCATTTGAAATTTTCTTCTAAAATGATTTTTTATCAACCTTGTATATTTAAGTTCAGTAATTTCACTTAAATGGCAATGAAGATTACCTATTAATTGTCATTTAAGTGAAATTATTGAACTTAAATATACAAGCTTAATAAAAATGGTAATTTTAGAAGAAAATTTCAAATGGCATTTAGAGGCTTTTGCATTTGAACTCTTCATATATATATATATATATATATATATATATACTGTATATATATACAGTATATATATATACTATATATATATATATATATATATATGAAGAGTTCAGATGCAAAAGCCTCTAAATGCCATTTGAAATTTTCTTCTTTAATGATGATTTTTGTCAAGCTTGTATATTTAAGTTCAGTTATTTCACTTAAATGGCAATGATAATTACCTATTAATTGTTATTTAAGTGAAATTACTGAACTTGAATATACAAGTTTGACAAAAATCATCATTAAAGAAGAAAATTTCAAATGGCATTTAGAGGCTTTTGCATCTGAACTCTTCATATATATATATATATATATAAGCTTTAGAGATTAGAACTTTAGAGCTATCATAAAACTTCTGATCGTAGTATTACCACATGCTTTGAGTGGATCAAATGTTTGGAATCCTTAGAAGTGTTGTGCTGTTCTCCAAAGTACAGCATCATGGAGTTCTAGTGTCAGTTCTGATCCGTGACTCTCCCCCTGTGCTGAGACTGATGGATCTCCCTGGCTGCTCTGTAGGGGAAGGCAGGTTGGATAAGGTGATTCATCTCAACCTCAACGTCTCTAATGGATCGACCATCCAGCAGCGCTCAAGAGTTACATTACAGCTTCCTAGCACTCAAGACAAGAAAAGAAGAAAAATAGTTGGATAAGATAAAAGGAATCAGAAATCAGCAAATTCTCTAATTTTCTAAAATTCTTGGCAGTCGATTGCCTTCGATACTGAACGTGATTCACACTTGATGCTAAGCTTGTAGTTTAATGCAGTTCTGTCTTTTAGCCAATGAGGCATGGATGGGTTGCTGAGTCCCAATTCATATGCTTGTTTAGTCAATTTTAATTAGACAATTAACCCCAGCAGTAGTAGCCATGCTGTTGCTCTCACCGCTGTGTTGAGCTTCTCTATTTTAGACTACTGGCTATGCAATTGTCCAGGGGAACACAAATCAATACAAGATCAACATGTTACAACAAATGTTCATAGGGAGGAGTGAATCTTTCAAATCAACTTAGACACTGTTTACTTTAGATAGTTTCCCAAGGCAAAGAATAAATACCCAGAGCTTTGAGCAGAAGCAATGATTTGGGGCAATGTAGGAAAGTCAACGTGCTCTGTGACTTAATTCGTACAAGAATGATGAACTAACAAAGTCACCATTCTCTTTTCTTCATTTTAGGTGTGTGTGGATATCTTTTGAAGTTGACCTTTAGTGTCAAAATTTTGATTAGATAAATCAATAATTATTATTACATTGATTTATTAGATTTTTATTTGTTAGTTTATTAATGATGACTATGATTATTATTATTATATTTATATTCTGTTCTTTTTCTCATGTTTGAATGAACTTGCAGTCAGCTCACACAGATAAAAGACTTGGTGCTGAAGAGGTGTATATCGCACTCAATGGAAGATAAGGAGGAATGTGTCATAGAGTGAAGCCTCTGTGGTTAACTGTATGGCATTCATTCTTAGAGGTGACCTCTCAGCGCCTCCCTCCCATCCTCATAGCTGTAAAAAGCCGTCTGAGAGAGAGGCTATAAAGGAGGGGCATAGCAAGTGTGGATGCTCCAAAGCATTGATTAGATAGCTAGCTAGGTCTTCAACTGAAGGTCCTTAAACAAGGCTGAAGCATCCTCATATTTTCTAATCTCTCTGTCTTTTATTCTAGATCTGATTTCATTCTCCTTGCATTCAAACCGTCATGATTTTGCACTTTTTCCTCATTTGTCCTTCCCTGTGTTGTGCATCCTCTAATTTGTTATAATATTCAATTTACCTATTTTTTTCTTTCTTATTCTCTCTCTGAGCTGAAGTGACCACACTTGTGTCACCAGTCTGCCAAACAGAGGAAACCAGCAGTGATTTAGCAAACAAGCGATCAATCAATGGTGTGCTGAAGCATGTAACACATGCCAGTCAAAACCTATTAAGTTCAAAGGGTCCCCTTTAAATTCCACTTGAGTGGGCTGACCCTATGGCAGGCAGCCAGACATGCCAGAGCTCAGAGGACAGTGGCCAGCATGAAAAATAAAAACAAAGATTATTGGCATACCAGATTATCAAGTTTTAACTCTATTATCATATAGGAAATATTGAAAATTCCTCTCAGCATTGTCGAAATGATATACTTTCAAACTATTTTTTAATTGTTTATACCATGTACTTTAATTATTTAGTTTAAATATAATTTTTTTAAAAAATTAGGGCTGTCAAACGATTAATTTTTTTAATCGCAATTAATCGCAGAAGCTTCATAGTTAACTGCGATTAATCGCGTTTTTTTTTTTTTGCATGTGTAAAATTCTGTTATTTTGCAAATCAAGACAGTTCTAAGCCCATAATGTAGTATATCTTACCAGAGTTTTCATTGGGAATCAAAAGAACACATACAATTTCCTTTTTGAACATTTTTTATTAAAAAAAAGTGCAATGTAGACCAACTTCCAAATATTAGGAGGAATAAAGTAACGCAGTGCTTACTTTGAGAGATGACATTTATCAGGCCACTCTCTTAACCTACTTCAAAAATAAACAATAACATTATTAGCAAAACAATTCCTAGCAATAACAGCAATCAAGTGATATTTAACACTAGTAGTAAATTCGATCGCTGTGGTTAACTTATTTTCATCCAAGGGTCTGCTGCGACGCCCACACTCAGGAATAGTTCTGTGGCGAGGCTGCGGCTTGCTTGGCCGGGAAGCGTCAAATGAAACACCGGGGTGTTTGGCCTGGAGGTGGTAACTTAGACTTGACGTGCTCCGATGGTAGCTGAACTCCTTGAAACAAATGCTGCATTGTACCTTAGTGTTGTCAACGGAACCGTCTGATTTTTTTTTAAAGTTAAACAGGCTGTTTAAAAATCCGGTCGTACTTTTTCTATCCATCACTTTTTACCGCTTCACAAACCAAAGGGGCTGACTACGGGCTAGCCAAAGGGACAAAAACGCGTTCCTTGAAATGCGATTAAAAAAAATAACGCGTTATGGATTGTTTTTAACTAATCGCGATTAATGCATTAACGCTGACAGCCCTAAAAAAAATATTTCCTTGCACTTTAACTTAAACAGCATTATCATCATCAAAAATTATATATATATATATATATATGTTTTTATTAATATCTTAAGGGAGCATTACTCTTTATTGAAAGTGGGCCATGTAGTAAAAATAAATTTTGTATTTGGTGCCTTCTTCACCGAGAAAAGACAAAGTAATTTTAGGGCACATTTATATGAAAGACAACAACTCCCACAATGCACCACATTGCACAGCTCCACAAGCCACTCCCATTAATCCAGAATATGAGGTATCCGCCTATCAGAGAAATCACGCCACACTCAAAAAAATGATTCAAGGCCTTCTTAGAGGTGACACATTTAAATACAATTTGATTTATGTAAATATATCTATTTAAGATCATATGTATATATATTTAAGTGGTCTAACTAAAAATTTATTAATAGCTCCACCTATGAGATTGATTTACGTTGGATCGCCCAAAAAAAGTTTCATGTGGGACCGCCCTTTGCGCATGTGCGAGTCAGCGCGGTCTTTTCGCCCATCTCGTCTCATTCTCTCAGTGCAACGCCAAGGCAGAGGGTGGACGAGAGTACGTAAAGGCGAATATCTACTACTTGGTAAGTATTCATTTGTTGATTAGAAAGTATCTTACTGTCAATTATCATTAATACAGTAATATAGGCTGAGATGTGTGCATCAGTTAACGTTAAGTGAGCCTAATTTCACTCTTCAAAGCTGAAGGGAGTTGCTTGCTAAGGTTAACTTTGGTGGTTAAGTGCTACTTTTGTACTTTAAGGTTAGTCACGTTGACTGCTTTGGTTAAATTATGTGTTCACTACTCTTCATCGCCGCAATTTCGGACGAGAGATGCCGAATTTCTGTTGTTTGTGTGTCTAATTATGGTCGCGACAAGCGTTAGCAGCCAAGGTCCAAAGTCCAAAGCAAAGCCGTCAACCGACCGGGCGCGTTGGACACTGGGTAATGTTATGCGTTTTTTTCGCCATGTGTCATTAATGGCGGCCAGTGTTATATTATTTTCGTCAACGACATTTTTTTTCACAGACGAAAACGAGACGATAACTAAATAAAACCTAGTTTTGAATGACAAAAACTATGACGAAAACCTATTGACATTTTCTATTGACAATAAAAACGACGAAAATTTCAAATAGTGACTATTTGGGAAGCGATTCAGTCAGAACTGATGTCCTGCGTCTGTGGTAGATGCGCACATTTCAGTAGAGCAGACATACAACGTTAGATCTGAATAAGAGTGAGGACGCTGTGAGGAAGAGTGAGGAAGAGCTCTAACGTAATCATTACGGTTTTCTGGGCGCACACACAGCGCGCGAGTCTTAAACTGCGCTCTCTTTCGTGTCTGAATGGACATAATACACAACATTATGTCTAAATGTCCATTTTGGACAGTATTCACGTAAACTATGTCGGTTATGTCTTAAAACAGTTGTGAGTGTATCGGATGTGCGTCAGTGCAATTCAGCATGTCATTGGACATGATCCGATGTGTGTCCTTAATAGTGGTCAAGCAACAAAAAAGAAAACTATTCACTGTTTGTTATAGCTTTAAGGATTAATTATATTTAATTCATACAAATAAATATGCTTGAAAGAATGATGTATGCAAGTAGTTCTAAATAATGCATATATCATTAATTAAAAGGAAGACTGTTTTACTTTATGAAAAGTGGTTTGATTTAATTTAAAGATTTTTTAAAGTCACAGTATTTAAATCTGTATCTGTATTGCATGTTAAAAATCATTCATATTAATAGGTGCTCTACTTCAGTTCAACCTACAATATTAATCAATGTATTAACGTGTTTGACTATAATTAATAATTACTTTTATTTGGTTACATTGCCTGAGTATTTGCTCCATTGCTCACACCTCTAATATATGCATCTCATCTTTTGCAGTTGAAGTTGAAAAGCAGTTTACGGCAACCTCCTATTAATGGTAGGTAAAACTAGCATTACTTGCTCAATTCTAGCACAAACTTATTTGCATCATTGTCATGTGATATGTGCTAATTGTCTTTATTCTCCTTTTTAGGATTATGAATGTGGCAGTGCAAAGAATGCAGTTTGCAATTAGCTAGCAGGTATTTGTTGTTTGCAACATTTTAGGCAGGTTCATGGGAACTTAAGGGGCAGTTATTAATATCCATGTACATACACCGATTATTTGGTTCATCCACTCACACACCAATGTAAAACATGCAAGAAAACTACCAACTTGCTTGTTGGGGGCATTTAGGGGTTAGGCATCCTGTTCAGACTGAAATTACCCTCTAATCTAAATTAGACAACCTGCTCCTTCTCTGTGTCACCAGAACAACCACATTTGGCTAAATTGTGTCTCATTTTTAACCCCTGCTTCAGCGTGACAACATCAACACCAGGAGGGAGTGTATCCTGAGATGCATCATCTACCTCAATGAAGATCCAGACACCATCTTCAAAGAATATCTGGTAAATTCATCACAATATGTTTGTCATGTAGTGTTGAACTGTTACTCCCTTACGTCTCCCATGACACACTATTTATATTGACAGACCCTAGGGCTGGGCGATAAATTGATTTTATCGATTAATTTGAATGTGTAGTTTACGTCGATTTTATTTATTTTTTTAATGAAAATCGGTTTTCTCTTTAACAACCTCTGAGCTCCTGTGGTTCTGACTGGACTCAGGGCTTGCCAAGATAGAGATACACAAACAACATGGCAAATGAACACTGTGAGAGACGCAATTGTCACTTTTTACACGCTCTCATGCACACATGCATTTTCTCACGCAGAGAAAAGTTAGGCTACTATTCATATGAAACATAGCCTATTCTCATCAGATTCTGTCAATTTTATTACAAAATTCAAACAATAAACACCGTTTTGGCACTTGTCACTAAATATGACATGAAAGATCGCAGAGCTCAGTTCAAGCGGTACGTGAACCGATCATCTGTTACTCTTTACTACTAACTTACCGTAATGTAATAAAATCAATCGATCAGTGTTTTTCAACCGCGGAAAGATGTCCATAAAACAGCTGGAGAACAACATGTCACGTAACGTTACATTTACCTCAGGAATGCCCTTCAATTAGCCATAACATGCATGTTAGTTGGACTTAAAATAATTACTATAGAGAGGAGTATTTTGCTAAATATGATAACTATATTACACATTTATTATATTTTTACCTATATCATTCAAATATTATAATGTTGTTTGTTGTTATAAAAACACATTTAATTTGAGTTGGTTTTAACCTTTAAACCTAATACCAGCTGACAGGGTCTCTCTGTATTATAGCATTAAGTGATTTATTTTTGGAGAACAATTAACATAACACATTAAGGTAGGATATCTACTGTACCTAATATTTACCCAAACGAATTGATATTGAATAAAAAAATCCGAATCAAATCACAAGAATTGAATTGAAATTTGTATTAATCAATAATAAAAACAATAGCATACCAGTCTTTGTACCATGTAAACATTGTGTTACATAGTTAATAAACTTAATAAAATTGTTTAGTTACCAAATACTTTGACAATCACAATAAACATTGTGAGTTTTTTTTTTTTTTTTTACACATCCCCCCAATCCACCCATTTTATGTTATGTTATATTTACACTATTTACAATGACAGGGCCTGCCCTCTTGTCTTTTTGGCTTGTTGTTTCTGATTGCACTTTAATCCAGATAATATCCCAGAAGGGAATAAAGTTAAAACTTGTTTTGAACAATTTCTTTGTCGTCTACAGATTGATTTTAAGTAGGGAGAGGAAAAAAATAGTTTTAAATCGTAAATGGGATATTTTTGTGAAAAAATCTGGGATTTTTTAGGCCAAATCGCCCAGCCCTAAGCAGCCCTACAGAGGTGTTCTTATGTACTGCTGTAGACAAGTGATCGTACATGTTTTTTGAATTTAGGGGGGAGTGTGAGTGTGTGTGCTTGGAGTGGGGAGATTGTTTAGAGTTCTGTTGGCCTGGGGATGAAGTTGTGCTGTTGATAATGGACAAATGCTTTTCTATATGTATTTTTGTGTCTGATGCCATCACCTGTGGAGCCCTGCATCACTTTATGTCACCTTATTTCTATGTCCATCTTTATTTAACACTTGCTGTGTTTTCTGTGTTTGTGGTGTTCAGGCACTGGCGACCGAGGATGCAGAAAGGGACCTAGCAACCACAGTCATGTGACCGGAAGTGATGGGGATCAGGAGCCTGAGGACGTTGGAGTTGTGGAGTCAAGTTCATTCTATTTGGCATCATTCACCATGGTGAAACTCAAACATCCAACAGGAAAAAAAAAACATTTTTTGATTGGAGGGGTTCTAAGGAAATGAAGTTCAAATGTAAATGTATTTCAATAAAAAATAAAATAAAAATAAAAAACCAGTTTTGTCTCACGTGTATGTTAATGGATCAAATGAAAAATGATTTATATGTTTAATTGATGATAATTTCCAATAATTAAGTAAGTTTGAGTTGGTCAAATGAAAATCAATTTCATTTAGTTAATGTAATTATTTTATTTCAGCTGTATTTGGTAAAATTTAGTTAGGAGAACTCAATTACATACTGTTGTAAGTATTTGATAAAAATAAGTTAGGCTAACTCATTTAAATTCTGTTGAATGGATGTACTCAATTTGAGTTGGGACTACATATATTTATTGGATGGAAATCCTGCCCACAACTTAATTGAGTTCATCCAATGAATCATTTTTTTGAGTGCATTTGGGCATCGTTTAAATCGTTAAATCGTTTAAACGTCAGCCTTTTCTTGAAAATGGCAACGACTCAGCATCTCGGGTTGAGTTAGGCAGGTCATTCTACCAGCAGGGAGTGTTTCGTAAAGGTGAGGCTCCGTGAAGGTGATGTTATGCCTCTTTAAGATGGCACCATGAGACGACGTTCACTTGCAGAACGCAAGCCTCTGGATGGCAAGAAAGTCTGGAATAATAAGTTAAGGTAAAAGGGAGCAGAGCCAGTGGTTGTTTTTAGGCAAGCATCAGTGCCTTGAATTTGATGCGAGCGACAATTGGCAATCAGTGCAGTTTTGTGAGGAGAGGTGTGACGTGTGCTCTCGTCAGTTTGTTAGAGACCACTCTAGCTGCAGCATTCTGGATCAGTTGCAGAGATTTGACAGTGTGTCACTGATGACGATAATGGAGGCGGAACCTTTACGGTGGAACTTTTAATTCTGGCCGGAGTTTCCTATGGGGAGTTCTTTTGTGGGAGACCCGTGAAGACTTCAGGTCCGGGCATAGACCTTATGTAGCCCCGCCCCTTTTCAGCGCGGTTGTCTTTTGACTTCCGGTCTGTATTTTCACAGCGATCTTGCATAGGTATGAAAGAACTGCTCGTAAATAATTTCTTGGTCGACATTTGTTAAGACATCTGCTTTACAATGCTTATGATAAACATTACAATGTTCATGATAACTTTTGTTAACTCTACAATAAGTAAATCCCCTTCACCAGCTAATTACTCCTCGACAGCGATGCCATAGAAATATACAGAGCTACCGCGATACCGGAAGTTCAAAGACAATATTGTAAAGATGACGGCGCCCACGTTTCTCTGGTGCATAAGGTCTATACCGGGCAATGACGGAGATGATTATGAAAGATTGAGAACAGGTGCAGGAGGAAAGTGAGTGGAACAGCGATTGGAGAATGCCTTGATTGAGGGGAAAATAAAAAGGCATTACATTCAAACATGAGGGGGAAGGAGAGGATAGAGGAAAAACAAGAGGAGCGCGAGGAGTGCGAGGGAAGAGGGGCTCGGCCATCGAGTTATTCGGGTGGGACAAGGAGAGAGAGATTTGGGTTTGGGCAAGGAGAAAGACGGGCTGGAGGAGAAAGGGAAAAGCTAAAAAGAAGTCAGCAACTGGGAGAGATAAGTGTCTAACTCTAGCCAGATTATGGAGCAATTGACGTCCCTGAGATTTGCATGGAAGAGTATGGTGAGTGAAAATTCGCTGGAGGACCTGTACTACACTGAGTAAATTGTGCTTCACAGCTGTTTCCACAGCTAGCTTAACATCAGCGAGTGGTGGACGAGACCTCATGCCTGCGCCTTCTCTGTGAGTTGTGAGATTTGCAGTGTTGTATAAGGGAAATCTGCAGTACCGGGCAGTTCTAGCAATGTGGTCTGTGAAGTTCAAATGATCATCAATCACAACTCCAAGGTTCCTGACTGACCTTGATGGAGTTATGGATGACGAACATAGCTGAATGGAGAAGTTGTGGTGTAGTGTTGGGTTTTTTGGGACCACAAGCAGATCTGTTGTGACTTAGACACCTCTCCACCTACAGTACCTGAGAGGTTAGACTTGAACCATTGTACTGAGGTTCCCGAGATGCCCTTTGTCTTTAGTATTGACAAGAGGATCTGGTTGTTAATTGTGTCAAGGCAGCAGACAGATCTAGCTGGGTGAGAACTGAAGATTTGCTCGCTGCTCTTTCCAGTCTCGGAGCGTCAATAACCGAGAGCAGGGCAGTCTCAGTTGAGTGATCACTTTTGAAACCAGACTGGTTGTTGTCTAGGAGGTTGTTCTGTGAAAGAAAGGCAGAGATCTGGTTGAAAACAACTTGCTCCAGTGTTTTTGCAAAGATTTTTAGGTATTATAGGTAACCATAGAAACCAAAGTTATAAATATACATATACACATATGCTTGACATTACAACTCCCTCCTAGAAGTCACGTCATTGTGCTGTAAACTGTCCATATTCATTGGGACGTGTGAGTACTGGAGGTTGGCACAGAGCTGGTGACGGACAGGACCCGGGGAGAAGCTGGCAGAGGAAAACCCCATGGTGGAGCCGTCAGAGGTCGGAGCCAAAGTAGAGCCTTCACTTACGGTCCGGACGGAACCTGGGGACTGACTGATGAAAAGCGAGCCAGAGGGAAGGAAATGCCTGGTGGAGTCATGGGCTTGGAGGCTTGATATGAAGCAGGGAAATCCACATCATCGTGCCAAGCTGGGGATCAGGAGGTCCGAGGCAGAGTCAAAGAGTAAAGCCGAGGAGCTGGGTAACACCAGTGGAGACAGGGGATCCAGGTGACTGAACAGGGCCAGTGGAGAGGATGGGAAGAATGGAGGAGTAAGGACTCTGGATGAGCTAGACACATCAAAAGAATGAGAAGAAATAAGTGCAATGATGTCATTAAATAACTGACAAGTTATAGTGCTGCCGAGATATTAACCTGAATTAGCATGCTAAATTACTAGGCCCGGCCTGGCAGGTGTCGTAATACCAGTTCAGGCCATGGGAGGCGGAATGCGGGCGGGCAAGGTTACCACCAGCCAAACTGCAATAGCCGAGTGAGTCGCGCTCGCGCCGGCTTGTGTGTGTGTGTACTTGAACCTGATGTCAGTCGTGTGGAAATACAGCCCACTACTACATTTCAGTTCAGGGAAGAGTTCAAAAAATGATTGGTCGACATTATGCATGAGGAATACATTTTGGTAAGTTGTAGCATACTGTATCTTTCAACAGAGTTCATGTCCTTTTTCCATTAGCTAGTAGAGACGATCGGTTCACGTGCGCTAGGGATCTGTGGTGTAACATGTACAAGCGCCAAAACGGTATTTATTCTTTGAATTGCGTACTAAAATTGACAGAATCTGAGAGCTTAACTAACCTGCTTGCTAAGTGTCAATTGCGTGTGTCTCACGGTGAATTCACGGCGCTAGCTTGATCAACATCAGCAAATGCTGTCTGTCAAATTAATTCACTAACAATAAAAGTGTAATATGAACAAAACGAATAGGCCTACCATAAACTTCAAATAATTGCCCAAGCTTTTATTTTCCCATATAGTCGAAATGCACCAGCTTGTTTTTGAGACAGGCGTCTATAAAGCGGTCTTCATCATTTAGCATTGAGATGTTGTTCATTGAGTCTCTGATCTCTAAAAATCTCCAAATGCTCTACGTGAAACTGCGGTCTTCCAACCTTTTACTATCATGTCAAATGATTTGAATAACATGCGCGATGCTAGGAGCACAAGTCATTTTCTGGAGGTATACTGCCCCCATCTGTTATGGAATATGGAGTAGGATTTGATTTATTATGTTAGATGGCACCTTTAATGGTGGGGACTAGGGTGGAACTGGATCCACCAACCACTAATCAGGCAGTAACTACTCTGGGCTCTAGGATGGACTGGGCAGGGGCACAAGCTCCGGGACAGCCGTGGTGGCAGGCTTTAGCTCCATGGCAGTAGTGGACTACAGCACTCCAGGACATAGGCATTGGCTTAGAGTCAGGGAAACCCGTCACACACACATAAGCAGACTTCACACAAATAAGGGGGGTTTGGAGGGGTGGTGGTGCATATATAACATGTGCACATATAACATGTTTCCAGTGTTGGGGAGTAGTTAACTACAAGAAGCGACGCTACTAACTTAACTACATTTTTCAGTAGCTTGGCAGTAGCTCAGTTGCTTTTCAAACAGTGTAGCTTTTCCAGTAACTAACTACTTTTTGCAGCAAGTAGCGGTGTAGCGCGAGCAACAGCTACATTGCGTTTGTCGAGCCTGCGCGAATCAGCGCGATGCAAGGATATTCTTCCTGTTAGATTACAAACTAATTTTTTTTGCCATTACCGCCACCTGTTGTTTAATCACGCATCTTGCGGCTAACGATTCACTGACGTAAAGAAGTGGGATGATTGTTTTAATTATGGAATTCTCCATAATTAAAACTCAGAAACTTCAGTAGAGAACCATACTTTGTAAGGAAGTAGGGGTTTCTATATTGTACATTTATTTGCATGTATGTATGGTTTGCGCTGCGCTCTTTAAAGTCAGTGCAGCGCTGTCAGTGCAAGGTCAGTGCAGCGCTGGTGAGGATGTTCGCGTAACAGGCAGCCCATTCTCATCCCAAGGCATCATCTAACTGATCCTAAAGGTTGCCATGTGCGTCGGATTTAGACGCATGGTCAAAAGCGTCAGTTAGATGACGACCTAGGATGAGGATGAGCATCATCTAACTGATGCTAAAGGTTGCCATGTGCGTCGGATATAGAGGCATGGTCAAAAGTGTCATTTAGATGACACCCTAGGATGAGAATGCGTTGTGACAGGGAACATTCGAGTCAAAAAGGTAAAACTTCCAAAATAATTCAAGAACATCATCATTTAATGAGACTTTAAATGTCAATAGAGTTATCGCGTCAATCAGGACAAAAATAAAAACGAATTTACATTTTAATGAAAAAGGATCTTTATACAAAAGTTGTAATCAAGTTTTTTTTATTGTTATTATTATTATTTTTTATGAATTTAATTTAATGTCCAAAGTCTAACAAGCCAAATATTAAACTTCATAATCTGCAAGAAAGTACCCCCACAGTCTGATAAATGCAAAGAACTCCTATTG